GCTATATAGCTTTATGAGTTCAATTTAGTCACAGAAGGTCATGTTACTACTTAATTCTGAAATATAGTGTGTGGACTGACTGTTGAGTGCTGGCTGGAAAGTGTCTTTTTATAGACTACATATTAAGTAATATCAGGATTTAACACTTGAAGTCTTTAACACTTTGCATTGACCAATTTGACCTATATTGCAAACTTTGACCCTTTTAAAAAAACTCAAAGCATTCAAAGCAACAAGACATAAAGCAGCAACGCTCCTTCTCAACTTTAAATTCCACCTCATTTCCCAGTCTGATCAAGATTTCTCTTTGAGGACTTGATATGTTTCTGTATCTGAACAGCACCACAGAGGATGGAATTAATTCTGAAATATAGTGTGTGGACTGACTGTTGAGTGCTGGCTGTGGTCGTGGAAAGTCCATTGCTTTGGGGTTTGAGGTGAGTGATGAGTTGTTTTGAAGCTCAGAGATGTTGTAACCATCACCCACCACAAGGTGGGCTCCTTCTCAACTTTAAATTCCACCTCATTTCCCAGTCTGATCAAGATTTCTCTTTGAGGACTTGATATGCTCCTGTATCTGAACGGCACCACAGAGGACGGAAAGACAGAAAAGAGTGAGAAGAGAAAGCAGGAGGAGGAAAGAGAATGTTCTGTGTTTTGGTGTCACTGGGGGCTACGTGCTTTTTATATGTCCCAGTAGAGAAGAGAGATGAAGAATGTAAAGGAGTAGGGAAGGAGAGAGAGAGAGAGAGATAGAGGGATTCTCAGGAGGGAGATCTAAGGCTGTGTCTGCCACCGCCACCTTAAGCCACCCTCCTCCTGTTGGTTTTAATTCACTTCCACAGGAAATCTAGATCCACTCCCCTACTACACAGAGCTAGCTTGTCTGTTTCTTTCTATCCTGTCGAATCAGTTCTCCAGTGACGTGTGTATTTGTGTTTAAATTTGTGTCGGTCAAGTTTTGCCTGCATTGTGGAGACCCCACAAAGATGGTAAACTAAACCCTGCAATCACCTGCATTGTGGGGGGCAATCAATGTTCCCTGAGGAAGATGTTTTAATAAATATACATATTCCTATAAATATAAATATACATATATAAATATTCCATATTGAAAATAAAAATATGACAAAAATTTGTTGGAGAGGTTTGGGGTGCATTGATTATCACCCTGGTTATATGGGTGGCGCTTGTAATTTATTTTATATTTTATTTTATCTTAGGTTATTTTTGTGGTTAGAAATGTAATGCTTTGAATTGTTAATCAGTATGATGTATAATTAATAATAATAATAATAATAATAATAATTTGTTTGAAGGTTTTGGTGTGTATTTATTATCATCAGGGAAATATATGGGTGGTACTTTTATTTGATTTTTATTTTAATTTTTTTAATTTAATTGAATTTTTTTTTTTTTTTGCTGTTAGAAATTTAATGCTTTGAAACCTTATTCAGTGTGATGTGCATATTCAATAATAATAATAATAATGGTTATTATTATTATTATTATTATTATTATTATTATGCATTGGTAGTGTGTGAATGTAATGGAAATTTTTATTTGCCATTAACCATGCTACATGTGTGTGATATTATACCTTTATCGCAGATTTTTTGGCTTGTTTCTCTCTTCATATCTCTCTCTGTTGTTGCCACATATACATAGCAATGACCTGGCGCTCACTATGCAGCCACCATGCTGTGAATTCCATCTAACCAGAGAAACAAGAGGAAATTGTTATGCAAATGAAAATGCACTGGCTATTCTAGAAAGGTTGTAATGTTTGTATGCGTGTGATTGTATTTGTGTGCTTATATGTTAGAGTAATTCAGGGAGTAAAATAAATGCAGAGAGAGCAAATCTACCAGGATTGTATTTCAAAAGCATTCTCATTCAACATGGATAGTGTGCACAAGAAATAAGCATATATATTTCCTGGCATGAGCATTTTCAAAGCAACAGTCACATTTATAATCTCTGTATAATGCACAACGTCCCCATTATTAAAGTGACAGCCTCTAATAGAGCTGATTGGCTGGAAGTTAAAGGTGAAGTGTGTCATTTCTGCACCATTAGCATCACAAGCAGGATTGTAAAAATAATATTTTCAAACAATTTTTTTTTTCCAGCAAGGACTCATTAAATTAGATTTGACATTATCAAAAAAATAAATGATTTTAAAATTCCTATTCATTAAAGAATTCTAAAGCAGCACAACTGTTTTCAACATTAATAATGAGGACTCAGCAGCAAATCAGCATAACGGAATGCTTTCTGGAGGAGGATGTGACACTGAAGACTAAAGTAATGACTGAGGAAATTTCTGTTTTGCCATCACAGGAATAAATTACATTTTGAAATGTAAAAATATTTGACAAGATTACTTCTTTCAAAAACATTTGAAAAATTCTTACAAAACTATTGAACAGTAGTGTACATTATATTAGTATAGAGTGTGTTTTATATATTTTTATGTAGCATCCAGACTTCCTTCGTATTTTCATAGGAAGCTTTGGGCTTTAAGATTTCAGCACCTCAGCACAAACTCCACCCTCAGTGATTCAGCGAAGCAGGATAGAGGTTTTCTCTCAGGTGGGTGAAGTGATTGTTCCTCGGTTTGAGTGTTTATAGGCAGGAGGATGTAGTCCTCAGTGTTACTGCCTAATAAAAAAGCTTGCATGCTGTGTGATTAAATAACAGGGATGGCAGTAAAGAGAAAAGACATAATGATGGTTACATGCAGGTAGGTCAGTTACAATTTAATTGTCATTGCGAACGTATCAATTCGCTGCTGCTTAGCTGAGCAGAAAACAATGCTTTAGCACATAGAGGGAATCCTGCTGACTGCCTGTCAATTTACCCAGTCTCATCCTTGTTTTATTTGTCTCCTCTCTTAAGAAAACAAAATGTGTTCTTCCGAGGAAGCTAAAGCCACTGGTCACTTTGTTTGTCACGCCACCTTGTTTAATCCAACTTTTTATGATAACTTGAAATAATGTGTGCTGTGTGTCCTAGATAGTTTTGAATTGTATAAATTATTTAGAGTAGAGTTCTCTGATTAGGGCTTTTGGAGTAATAATGCAATGTTTTTGCTCTGGTTCGGTTGACACTTAACCGATTTTTTTTTTTTTTCTTCTGTTGACATATTTTGTTTTTGTGGCTGTACATTGCATCAGGTTGCATCAGGGTTAGCCATACTAAGAGCCATGCTGATTTATTTTTGGTTCTGTCCAAATCCTTTTATGAGTGGGTCTCTCAATGGCACAATCCACACTCGCTCCAAAGAACATAATATACTGGTCGAGTCTTCACACTCCAAACGGTCTCCCCACTGAGCTAGTTTTAAGTCCATAAGTCTTAGTCAAATGTCACGACATGACTGATGCTTTTTTTAAAAGCGAGCCGTTTGAGACAATCAAAGTGTGGGCCTAGTGGGCTTGTTAGGGCTCCCTCTGTCTGTCCAGTTCCTCTGAAGTCTGTTCGGACCGCTTGTGTTTATGTTTCTCAGCTCTTCGCCTGTGACAATCCACATATGGTCATTTATCAAAGATCTGCGCTTCACAAGAAACTGTTTTTGCAAAGCTGTCAGGCCAGTGATATCTCTGAAGACTTTATTGTACAAACTTGTCAGAATTCCCATCAGACTCGCGATCGCAGCCAGCCGTGTAGTACCCTCTTCCATCTCTAGCCCAATGATTTGTGTTCAAATTAAAAACCCAAACCATCCCAATAAAGTTTTGGCAAGGACGGATCGGTTTAATTGGCAGGCAATTGACGCGCCAATAGACTGTCATCCTGGAGGTCAAGAGTAATTTATTGAAATGCTAACTGCCTTTTTTTTTTGGGCCGCCGTTCCATATTGAAATTCCCATCTAGAGTATTACATGAGAAGATGATGACTTAATCCCCTGTTAATTAGAATAACATTTCCAGCAGCTGAGGCATAGCTGTTTAATGCGAGGGCAGTGGGCTGCACAGGAGAGGCCAGCCGGCTGGATCTGCGGCCCCAGAGTGCGAAGCTTGGCCTGGGCTCAAAGATCCAGGCAGCGGGGGCAACTCTCCACACCTCCAGCGGATGAGTGGTGGAAAGCTGGTAAATCTGCCGCTGATGACTCTCTCGTCGGCTAATAAGCTCATGTTTATTGGCAGGCTCTGTCCATCAGTGGCCTATTTTCAGCAGCAAATGGAAATATGTATTAGAAACACGGAATCCTCATATGGTAGCACAGTATTTTTAATAAGCTCATTTTCCATCTTCACAGAATTTGATTACAGGTGCTTTTTGAAAAGAATAAAATTGCAAATTGAACTTCGACCTCTTCCAGAATAATAAAAAGATAATTCTGACTGACAGTGATGCTTCTGTGCTATGTAACATAGTAAAACTTACTCTCTTACATCCACAGCATGAACAATAAAACTCTTACCTCATTGCATGAAAAAAAAAAAAAATATATATATATATATATATTTTATTTTTACCATTTAGCTTTATGGATTAATTTTTGCTGTTTATAAAACTGTTCAATATAATTAGTATTTTGTCTGTCTGTCTATCTATCTGTCTGTCTACAGTTCTGTCAATCTATTGCAAATTATTTTATCATGATGAAAATTTATATGAAAAGTTGTGATTCATATCATATTTTTCACTTTTTAGATATTTCTAAAAATAAATAAAATTTGAAAATTTTAACATTAATTTATTTTTTTAAATAAAAAAATAAATTGTAGATATTTCTCATACTTTTTAGATTTTTTTTATAGATATTTCTACTTTATTTAATCTCAAAATCTTTCCTTATGTACAATTTCAAAATTCCAAAACATTTCCTTAACTACTGCATATTTCAAAATTGAGATCTTAGGTTTTTAGTGTGGTGTCAGACTTTAAACCCCACTCTACACAAACAGTAATATTCACCTTTAATGCCTGCTTAAATTTATTTATTTTAATTTTTTAATGCATGCATGTTTTTTTTTTCTTTTTTCTTCAGGGTTCTTTTAAAGTGATTTGCATACAGCTTCACCCTTGGCCAGAGTGCAGTAGTGAAACTGGAAGTGACAGTGCCAGGTTTGCCCTGTTCTGTTTCTATCCTAGTATTAATCCAGCAGCCCCTCTACTCTTTAAGAAAGACCTCATTACCAGCCTCATTGATTGTGCTTCCTGCATCAACGAGCCCAGTGCATCTGTGTGTCCTGTATTATGGGTAGGGAGGTAAGCAGTAGGCAGGAGGTTTATGGTGCTGTAATTGGTAGTTAGTGTGATATTTGTAAGACAAATAGAGCTATATGTGCGATTCCTCCTCTCTCTCTCCTCTCTAGTCTTTACAGCCACCAAAGGGCCTCATTATAGCCCACTGAAACCCAGGCCTCACTGCATCGCACACACACACGAAGGGCAGGAAGTTGTGTGTGACAGTTCGGCTGCCAGGACTGATAGATGATACAGTAAGTGTGGTATTCATTGAGAGAGGACCCTGATGGTCTGGGGAATGAAACAGCTCTTCATTACATCGCAACCCAGTGGACGTTTTACACTCACGCTGTGCACGGCGGGACTGACTGAGTTTACTGTGGTCACTCATGAATATGCGGGGTTCTGAATTAACTTTTTTACAAGACCTGACAATGGTGAGCAAATCTGGAAAACAACCATCTATCACTGTGTTGTTATTGTTAACTAAAACTAAAACTATTATATATTGTTTTTACTTTTTTTTGGTCATTAAAATAAAGATGACAAAGTAAAATATAAATATTATATTTAAAAAATAAAATAAAATAAAATGCTGTCTTGGCAACTAATTGAAATAAATAAAATGGTACTTTACCAAGAAAGTGGCAAGATGAAAACCACTATTTTCTGTTTCAAACTTTCACATAGCATATTTAAGTTATAATAACATTAAAAATTCAAATCCAGATTTAGATTTTCATTTATTATAACATTTAAATTTTTTCCCCAAAATGCAATAAATCCATGACACATTTATTTTATTTTTTTCAAAATGCAATAAATCCATTGAATCAATATAAAAGTTATTTTTCATATTGAAACTGTTGAAAATACACAACATAGTAAGTTGATCCACATATGACAGCCTCTGAACTTGGTCAATAATAATCTTATATGCAGGCACTGGACTAAAAATACATTCAATCAGTCATCGCTCCCAAAAAGAATTCAACGGGTCATCTTGTTAATGCTATAAATTAATTACAACAATAAAAGAACATTTCATCATGAACATACATGAACAACAATATCACATTAGACCACAGAAATTCCCTTATATTCAACTTCCAAAAGTGCATTCATCTTTGCCATGTTACATTCATTTAGTTGACTAGTGCTATACGCTGTATTAACAAAAACATAAATGGCATAAATAAAAACACTTACACTGACAAGCTACTCAATATCGCGTTCATAATCGAATGCGACTCATCTGCGATTATGAACGTGATATTGCAGTGATCTACGGCTCTGTGTATTATATGCCGCTCTATCTGAAAGCACGTGATGGAGATTTACTATTAATCACAGAACCGGCTTTACTGACGAGATGCGCATAACAATCGCATGCGATTAATTGCACAGACCTAATAAGCATGCTAATAAGCAACTAG